TGCCAGAGCTTGAATCATTTCTGTCTTCGAGGCAGAAAGTCAGAGGATTTCCTTAAAAATAGAGCCTTTGTTTGGCAAATATTTCTCCCATCTGCTCCAGGGCTGTGATTGCCCTTTGTTGATTTGATGAGGGTCCCTTCCTCAGCCCGGGCACAGAGGGGACCCCATGGCCTGTCTGAGCTGCCAGGGCAGGGAGGAACTGCTGCCTGTGTCAGAGCCCAGGTTTGGTGTGTCAGAAATACCAGGCTACATCCTTAGCGGTTTGGAATTTGGGGCACAGATCGTGGAGCTGTTCTGTGCTTTTAGAGCACCTGAAAAAAAAACCAGGATCTGAGGCTGGAGGCGACCGCCTGGAGCCTCCCGGCCCCATCATCCTACAAATGGGTCATAATAAAAAATAAATTAGTGTGAGTCCACAGAAAGCAGCAGAGCTCTAGCGCTTTCACAGGCTGAGGATCCCCATGAATATTTCATTTAAAATATTCTCCTCTGCTGGCTCGGATCACTGGAATATCCGAGCGGCTCACATTTGTAATGCAACTTTACAGCAGCTTCATGAGCCCTGTGAATCTCAGCCTGGACGTTATTCCAGGCCTTTCTTTCCCTCCATGTTGGTGCAGCATCCTGCATGGAGAAGGCCACGAGTGGGGCTTTGTGGAGCTGCTGGAGGTGCAGCAGGAGCAGGACGAGCCTGTGTGATTCAGGGCAAGGCTGCAGTGAGGAGCAGGGTGATGGAAATGGGATCCAGCCACCCCACCAGCCCACCTCCGCAGCTGGGAGAGCTCTCCAGCGCCAGATCCTGGTTTTCCATCAGTGCAGGGGAAGCCAGTGAGGCTGGCCGAGGCTTTTCATCAACCACGGTCCGTGAGCAGCTTCCCCTTTTCTCGTAGCACGGCGCTGTTTGTAAACAACCACCTTAAAACACCGCCAGCAGGACGTGGCACCGGCACGTGAAGCTGCCAGGGTGACAAGTGTGACCTCAGAGGGCACAGCCCGGCCAAGGCATTTCTGCTTCCCACGGGGACGCTGTGGAAAGGCCTGGCCGCCCCTGCCAGGCTCATCTCAGCAGATGACACCGGCTGCTTCCCCTCGAGGTGCCCAGAACACCCAAAGGAGCTGCCCTGCAGTGACTCAGCCAGGTCAAACCCTTCCTCCCAACACCTCTGTGGTGTTTGACACTTGCCCTGGCAGAGGCTGAGCGCTAATAATAATCCCCACATTTTCTGCAGCCCTCAGCTTCGGGAAATCTCGGGCGGTTTTGCACAGCGCTGGAGTCTATTTGGAGCTCAAGGCTCCTAAGGATGTGTCAAGGACGGAGAGTTTTGGTACCCAGGAAGGCATCACGGGAAGGGGCTGTTGCCAGGACAGCTCTGCTAAACCACACCGGCAGGAAAACAATGCTGTGTGAATTTGCCACTGTCGGGTTGAGGTTGAACATCCTGGGGGTGACCGGGGTGTGCATTTCTGTCACAGCCCTGGTTTCAGGCTGCCCAGGGCAGTTCGGGTGCTGCACCTCTGATCTGTGACGCTCCCCAGGGATGGGTTGGAGCACAAGACAGCTGGGAGAGCATCCAGCAGCTCATGGCGTTACCAAACTCTGTCCCCGCACCTGGAGCAGGTGGCCAACCCCCGGGCAGGCCCCGGGACAGCTCCAAAGCAGCTCTGGGGCACTCCAGGGGGAAGCCCGGGGAGCGCTGGAGCGTTGAGCGCAGGCTTTGTCCCGGCAGGTCGGCTGGGTGTGCGCTTCCTGGCATACAATTCCCAGATTAGCAGGAGCCGTGCTGCCAGCAGCTCCTCTGGCCCGTGACCACAGCACTGGGAATGCTCTGAGGTCACCCAGAGCCCGGCGCTGCCCAGCCAGGGCATGGCTGGGGTGAGCGTTTGGGCACGGCACGCTCTGTCTGCACCCCAGGGAAGGTGAAAATGCGTCTCATAAAGGTTTGGATTGGGAGGGATCCTAAAAAACGTCTTGTTCTGCCCTCTGCCACGGGCAGGGACATCTTCCACTATCCCAGGTAGTTCCAAACCCTGTCCAGCCCAGCCTTGGACACTTCCAGGGATGAGGCAGCCACAGCTTCTCCAGCCCATGGGGACAGGAACCGACCCCTCTCACAAACCTCTGTAAGGCTTTAACCCCACGGGGTGGAGATCAGCCAGGCTGATCCCACTGATCCTTCTGCAGTGTGGGAGGGACAGAGGCCTCTTCTTACCATGAAATTAATGAATAACGCCCTTAAAAGCCACAGAGAATAAATAATAAAAAAGCTGGAGGGAGGAAGGGTTGGGAAAGGAGGAAAAATAATTCAACACAGAGCTTTTTAATAAGGAAAAGGGAATAATCAAGAGGGAGAAGCGAGAACGTTTTAGTCACACTAAATGCTTCATGTAAAAAAAAATAAAATAATAAAAAATTCCAACCAAAAGCAGTCCGTGGCTGTCGAGGCGGGGGGAGACTCGAAGGTCTAAAGTGGAAAGCAGAAAGGGAAACTCGGTATTTTCGTTAAGCCGAGGGAAAAGAAGAGGCAGGAGCTGGAGCCGAGGGCCGGCCGGTGCCGGGGTGGGGAGCGAGGCAGCAGCAGCAGCGATCCCGGCTCCGGGGGGGGCTGGAACATGGGGAGCCGCTCCCCGCCTCTCCCAGGGGCTGCATCCGGGCAGGGAGCGAGGGAAGGAGCGAGCGGCACCGAGCCCCAGCCCCGCTGCCCACCGGGGCTGCCCCGGGCACACCAGGGATGCTCAGCTGGGTCCCCGCCGGGCTCCGGCCCCTTTTCCTGCCTGGGACAAGCTGGACACCAGCGATTCCCAGAGCTGCGGCTTTTATCTGTGAATCGGGATCTGTTCCCCGCACACACCCCCGGGGATGAAAGGAGCCTCTGTGAGGCTCAGGGAGGGAGGGTTCACGCCGTGAAGAACCCCCGGAGCTCCGGCTGCTTGCCAAAGCCTGCCCTGCCCAGGCGCCGCGGAGCGGGGCACGGAGGGAGAATCACTGGGCGAAACCCCCGGAGACCCCCGGGCTCCGCTTCCCGCTGGTGTCGGGGAGCTCCCCCCACCCTGGGTGCAGCGATTGAGGACACGAGAAGGCGTCTGGTCCTTGCAGGAGGGAGAAGCCGGGAGCTGAGGGCCCCCAGGCACAGAGCCCCCTCCCCACCTCCAGGCGGGCTCTTCCTGTGCACGGAGCGAAGGAAGTCGCTTTTTCCTCTCTCCCGGGCTGTCCCTGAATGCAGGAGGAGCGCGCTGGTGGCTGAGGGCAGCCAGGCTCGGCAATTCCCCACGGGAATGCAGGGTTTCCATAACCAGCGGGATGTTCCTCCCCAAAGCCCCCATCAGCCTGAAATTCAGAGGCGTTTACAAGTCCGGCACTGACCCATGAGGTGCTTTGGAAGGGAGGATCTGCTGTGCAACCCCTCGCAGGAGAGGGGAAACTGAGGCAGGGAGTGCTGCTCCAACCTTCTCACAGAGGAGACTCCAAACTGGGCTCATTTCATTAAAAAAGCGCGACTGAAACGTGCTGGGTTTGTCTGCAGGAGGCTCCAGCTTTTCTGAAAGGGATTTATGGACCTGACACTGCAAATTTGAAGCTCAGGTAGGGCCACAATGAGTTGGTGGAAGAAGCAGAAATGAGCTGGTGGAAGAGGCACAAATGCAGCTGTGACCAGGGCACACCGTGGTGACAGCACAGCGCCCTGAGAGATGTCCCAGGTCACAGCTCCAGTGGTGTTTTTCCCTCCCAGACTCACCTCAGCCTTTTCCAGAGGTTCCACCTGATCCCAGCTGTGCCCAGCTTCTCCCAAAGCAGCCAAAAGCTTCTGCTACTCCATCCAGGGAGATGGAGGGGGGAGAGAGACCCATCAGAGACAGGCAGGGTGAGGAAAAGCACATTTGGAGTGGCATTCCCAGCCTGTCCTCCCAGCTGGAACCCACCCAGACACTGAGGGACTGCTTGGCCACATCACCACAGACCTGCAGGACCTTCCAGGCTTGTCCCAAGCCTCCTCCCTGCACTCACCCTGCTGGATCCCAAGGATCTGGGGGCCTTTCCAGGCTGCTGAGCCTCAGGACTCCCAGCTTCGATTTCCTACCTGAGTGGATTTTTCAGCCCTCCCACAGCCTCCTCCGCCTTCCCGTGTTTGTACAGCAGATTATCAAAGGTGGATTTGTCAGGAATTTTGTCTTAAGCAGCCTGGCAGCTCTTCCAACACCTGGAAAACAGGAGCTGGCTGTGCTGGCTGTTCTGGACTCCCAAACACAGCGTGATTAACGCCCAGCTCACTCCAGGAGCTGTTACAGCAACCAGGCCTGGACCTGGCGGGGTTTTTTAATCAAGTTGATAAATTTGCTGCGTGTGAGCACTTTGCTTTGCCCAAAGCCTCATGTTCTGCGCTCCTGCAGAGCCCAGAGGCAGCACAGGGTGACTTGGCCGGTATCCCTGGTGTGGGAATACAGGTGGGACCACAGGAAAGGTGCCCTGTCCCACTCTGGACCCCCAGAAGGAGCCAGGAGGAAACTCTGGGACAAACCTGACCAACAACAGGGGTTTGCTGGGTGGGGGTTTTTACCATTCTGGGATTTGCTGAGGGTGCAGGAGGTGAATTCACCCCCACAAAAAAACCCCTGGGAAACCTCTGTGACCCGTGCAGAGCCGCTCTCTCGCTGTCCCATGGCTCTGTCCCCCGGTGCCCGCAGCCCGGAGCCAGCGGCGGCTGCGGCTCCCAGGCGGGTTAGCCCGGCTCAGCTCGGCTCGGTGGGAAGTCGGAGAGTGCCACCTGGTGCTCCGAGGAGATCCAGAACCGCAGAATTCTCCGATGGCTTGGGTTGGAATGGACCTTAAAGCTCATCCAGGGCCACCCCTGCTATGGAAGGGACACCTCCCAGGTGCTCCCACTGTCCCAGGGTGCTCCAACCTTGTCCTTGGACACTTCCAGGGATCCAGGGGCAGCCCCAGCTGCTCTGGGCACCCTGTGCCAGGGCCTCCCCACCCTCACAGGGAGGAATTTCTACTAAAATCCTGTCTAACCCTGCCCCCTGGCAGTTTATTTCTCTCCTGGCTCACCTCCTGGCCAGCAGCACATCCCAGGGGTTTGCAGGGCCAGCAGCAGCCCCACTCAGAAGTGACTCCTCCTCCCTTCCCATCACACTTCCCAGGGCAGGAGCCTGCAGCAGTGGAAAAAAAATCGGGAAGAGATGATGTCAGTGCTGACAAAGTGTCTCTGTACAACAGCTCGGTTCTGATGTAACTGATAGCAGCAGCTGAGCTGGGGAAAAAAACCCTTTCCCTGTGCCCCCACTGGGCCATTTTATCAGCCAGAGCTCCTGGAATGCTCCGTGGCACAGAGCACATGTCCCCTGGCACCGAGAGCAAACTGAGCCAAGCAGTCCCGAAAGCCAAGGGTTGTCCACTGCTGACCAGCAGCATCCCAAGATTATTTCCTCCTTGCCTGGGAAGTGCCATGGAGGGATGGAAGAACCTCCAGGACACCCCTGGCAGGCCACAGCCCCTGGCAGGGCAGAGTTAGGATCAGTTTTGCTCGTGGTTCCGCATCCTTACATTTTTTCCGTGGCCTGGGGGTGCTGGGAGCCTCCTCAGCAGCATTCCCCACTCTCCACATCCTCTCACCAACCTCATTTGGAGCCCTTTGCTGTCTGCTGGCATTCCAGAACCTCTTCCCTGGGGACATCTCTGCTTTTGGGGGCCTTGCACCTTCACCTGCTGATCAAAACAAGCCCCAAAAAAACCAACAGTGACTCTCCCGAGCTGTCACCTCCCCTCCCTTGTGTGGGAATTGAACTTCTCTCAGGAGCTGCTGAGAGAGGATCCCATGCCAGCTCCAGATATTCCAAAGCTGAGGGACTCACTCCAGGCATGCTGGACGCTGAATGTGGGGGGTGCCTCAGCCTCCCACACCCCCTGGGTGTTTTCCATGTCCAGTTACTCCTCAGGACTCATCCCCACAGCCACCAGCCCTAAAGGGGGATGAGGGATTTCCCTTCCCTCTGAGCCCTCCCCTCACCTTCCAGGAGCTGCTGCTTCTCCCATTCAGCATCGGAGTCCACGGAGAGCATTGGCTCGGGGCTGGCAACTCCTTCTCCATCGGCACCCGGAGCTGCTGGGAGCCCATTCCTGTGGGAACAGCACAGCCACAGGGGTCTGGATGAGGCCACAACAGCAGAGTGTCCATCCTGCCCCTCCAGCAGCAATGGCACAGCTGGGCATGGTCCCATCCCCTGCCTGGAGAGGCCACTGGCTGCCAAGGGCCAGAACTGGGGGCTCTGGAAGATTCCACAGCCCCCAGGAGCCCCCCCAGGCACCTTTGGGGAGGTGGGAATGGCACAGGCAGAGGTGGGAGTGGAGCTGCCAGTTGTGGGTACAGGATGTCCCAACTGGGGCCTCACTGGGGACACTGGGCTCAGGTCAAACTTTTAAGGAAGTCAGGGGAAAACTGGATTTTATAACATTCAACCAAGCAGCCTCCTGCCAACCCCCAACTTTTTGGGATCAGCTGCAGCCCAGCAGGCTCCTCCCTGTCCCTCCAGAGCTGGAGGAGGACACACTCGCTTCAGGGGGACACTGCAGCCAGCTGGGCTTGTGACCCTGTGTCACCCCTGCCCCAGCTCTTACATCCGCAGAGCTTTGCCTCTGGAATATCCCGGTGGGGCCGTCCCCTCCTGGCTGCCTGCTGCCTGCTGGGCTCTGTGGCTGTCCCCCAGCAGCTCCTGGTCACTGGTGCTGAGCACCAGGCAGCCTCTGATGCTGAGCTCCTCCAGCTTCCCCAGCAGTGACTCCATGCTCTCCCTGCTGGCACCATCCCAGCGCTGCCCTGGGTGGCTGCAGCCCTCAGCTGCCCCCAGCTCCTCCTCCCGGGGCTGCTGTGTCCCCCACAGGCTCCCCAGCAGCCCCCAGAGCCCCCTGAGGAGCTGGAGAGGGGAAGGACAGCAGGGAGCCCAAGTGGCCAGGTGGCTTTTCCCCTGGCCATCCTCCCAGTGCTCCCAGTTTGGGGGCTTCCCTGGGCTGCTGCACCCCTCAGCTGGCCCCAGCTCCTCCACTCTGGGCTTCTGTATCCACCATGGGACCCTCAAGAGCCCCCTGAAGAGCTGGAGCAGGGAGGGCTGCCTGGGAGCCAGGGTGACCACCGGGGTGGCCATTGGGGTGGCCATCGGTGCCAGCGAGCGGCTCAAACGGACACAACGGACACAAACTGCCCTGAGCCTCAGCCCTGAGCAGTGCCAGGGGCTGGGACAGGGCTGAGGACAGCACAGAGGGGACAGGACTCTGAGAGGGGGACACAGGCACAGCTGGGAGTGGGGGGAGAACAGAGGTGAAGCCTCCCCAAAACCAACAGCTCAACCCTTGCCCCATTGCCAGCTCTGCCGGGACCAAGCCCCGAGATTCCCCCCAGCTCGGGAGGAGGGAGCAAGGGGAAGCTTGGGGAAGCTCCTCCAGCAGCCAAAGGCCAAAGGGAGGAGATAAAACCTCCTGCAAAGTGGCAGTGGCTTCCTGCCACTCTTGTCACCACTGTGTCACCCTGCCAGGGCACACACCAGCATCTGCTCCTCCCTTGGGCCCTCGGGCCCTATCCCAGGGGTGTTTTCCCCCAGCTGAAGCCCCGGGCAGGGCAGGATTTCCCCACAGCCTCCCTGTGGCTGCAGTGACTCGGGACAAAGCTGCTCCAGGCTCCCTGTGAGGCGCTGCTGGAGCTCAGCTCTGCTGTGCCCTGGGACTTTCCCCCTGCCCAGCCTTGCCTCGGGAGCTGCTTGGGTGCAGAATGGTTGTTTTTATGCTCAAAACCCCTCATCTAAAAGTGCTGCATCATCCTGGTTCCTCCAACCCAAGACTCTCCCACCTTCCAGCTGCAGCCTTGTGTTCCCGTCCCGCGGCAGCACCGGGAGCAGCGCAGCTCCTGCCCATGGGGAGAGGTCTCACCTCGGGCTGGCACCTCAGCAGGGTTGGGGATGCACAGCCGAGCACAGCTCTCTTTCCCAGTGCCTCTTCCCAGCCCTTTTCTCATCCCCAGCACAGATTTAGATGCCACCAAGCACGTTCTAAAATGCCACAAGGATCCCAAATCCAGTGTCTCCATCCCCACATTTCCACCAGCAAATTTCCTTTTTTTGATTTCCCCACCAGCCAAAGGAGCTGCTGGAAGAAGGAGCTGGTGAAAGCCGGGAACATTTCACACCAGCAGCCGGGGTGGCAGAGCCAGCTGGGAATTGTTGATTCCACATCCCCAGGGCTCTGCAGCAGCACGGGCTGGCTGCTCGGTGGAGCTGCAGGATTTACATCTCCTGGATGCTTCCTTCCCACCTTGATGTCCATTCTGGCCAGTCCCATACAGAGCTGGTCCTTCCCAAGCAGTTTCCCGTTATCTCCAAGCCTCTCATTTGGCAGACACCAAGGGTCCCCACAAACTCTGCACTCACAGTTGTCCAACAATCCCACACGATTTGTTTTCCACACCTTTTGCCGCTCGATGGGAGCAGCAGGAGCCCTGTCAGAGTCGTTATTGGAGGAATTCTGCTTTCCAGCTGCAAACTTCTGCATCGATGAACCACAAAAAGAGCTGCCTGCGGCAGAGGTGGTTCACACCAAGAAATTGCTTGGGAATTGGCTGCTCAGTGCCACTTTCCCAGCTGGCATTCCACAGCCAGAACACAGAGGTGTCATGCAACACACTCAGGGTGGAAGTGGTTTGCAGGGAGGAGGGGTTGAGATGGGATTTGTGTTTGCAGAAATTCTCCCAGGTAATCTTGGGGATGCTAAACCTGAACTGGTGGGGATGAACAGGCAGGAGCAGCCCAGATTGGTGTGAGAGGGCAGGCAGAGGCACAGGACTGGTCCTGCAGGAGCCAGGACAGCTTAAACCTGGCCACAGCTCACCCTGGCTGCACATAAGGGCAGCCACCACCAGCACGGGTGTCCTGGGGTGACTTCATGATGCTTTTATCCCCTATTATCTGCGCTGTTTGTGCTGGATATTAAGTTCTGCACCCTTCAGACTGGTTCTGAGAGCGAAGGGGGGAAAGAAGAAGCCGCAGTTTGTGTTTAGGAACAGCACTCACCGCCCCGCAGGCCTCTCCGGCCTGTGCTGCCTGCAGCATGGACAGACAGAGGGACACAGCTCTCCTTTGCTGTTAGTTTTTAGCTAGCTGAGGCAGAGAAGTTCCCCAGACTGGTTTTTTTCCCCTTTTTTCTTGGATCTGTTCAAAGCTGGTGTTGAATGAGAACCCAGCCAAACCCCGGGAGCTCAGGGCTGTGGCCTATCGGGGCCTGGGCCTCGGCGCTTTCCAGCACCAGAGGGACTGATAAGAACCTGAGTGAGCTGGGCAACCCCACATGGAAAGGACTTTTCTGGATTTGCCAGCTCCTTGAACAGAGAGAGGTTTTATTGTTTAATATTATTAATTTTCTGCTAAATAAATATTTTTTTCTGCTTTTCTATAATGAAATATTTTTCCTGAACCAGCTGGGGGAGGGGCCGCTTGAATTTGCTTTCTAGAGGGATCCCACTCATAGATTTTCTCACAGATTTGTCCTAAATCAGGACAAAGGGTCAGTGGGGTCCCCCAGAGTCATGGACATCAGGCCCAAACAGCCACATTCACCCCCAAAACTCGCCTCAGGAATTAAAATGGGTGGTGGGACCTCGAGCCCCGCTCAGGACTTTCTCTGTGGGCACAGCTGGGAGGAAGGCAGCCCCTTGGTGGGCACAGCCCCCATGAGCTGATTCCTCACTCCATGATGATCATCCTTCCCCAAAGGCCAGCTCTGACTGGGACATCTCTCCCCAGTCCCTGTCCCCACTGTGGGAATCCTTTTTTTCACCCTCCAGCGGCTGCTTTTCACCGCCAGCACAGCCCCACCCTCAGCAGGGTTTGCCAAGGCCATGCTCCCAGCAGCCCAAACCTCGGAGGGAGCCAGAGCAGGACCCTCTGCTGCCAGGGCCCGGTTTTCCCTGGAAAAGCTCAGCCAGCAAGCCAAGAATTCCAAAATCGCTGGCTCCGGGGCCGAGGAGATGCCGTGGAGCCCTCAGAGAGCTCCTGCCATCAGGCAGAGAGGTGATGAGATAATCAGCAGTCAGCTCTGCCCAGCCCCAAAGCTCTGCTTATCTGGCATTTTCCAGTCCCAGCAGCGTCCCTGGCAGCGTCCCAAGGAGCGAGGAGAGGAAAAGCAGCTGGGGCAGATTGCTGAACCCTCCGGGGCTGAATCCATCTCACGCTCTCCTCGAGCTGCTGGGATTTCCCCAAATCTCAGCGGATTCCGAATTCCCTGAGGCACTGGGTGGGAGCCGCCTCTGCCACCGGTGACTTTTGTTTTGTGGGGTTTTTTTCTTGCTGGATCAACTCAAGTTCCCTCCCAGGAGCCGGCAACTCTCAAATCGTTACTTTAACGGGGCTCTCGGCCGGGGAGCCTGGCAGAGGGCGAATTTAAGATGCAGCCGTGAAGAAAAAGCTCCGATAACTGCGGGAGAAGCCGGGGAGGAGCCCAAGATCTCCGGGAGAGCCCGGCAAGGAGGGTGGCACGGGCTGTGCGGTGCCAACCCCGCACCCCCCGAGCCTCGCAGTGCCCCGGGGCCGGGCGATGCTTCAGCTTCCCCCGAGTCCCCCGAGGAGCCCCCAAAGCCCCCCAGAAAGCCCCCGGTGCTCGGCGCTGCCCCGCGCCGGGGTTGGTGCCTCTAGAGGGAGCTGAGTCCTGCGCGGCTCCGCG